TTCTGATAGTTTGAAAATGGACCAATTGCTTCGTACAGGTTATCCATAATATATTATAGTTATTATATTATGGTTGATAATTACCTAAATAATCATTTATTTTAATTTTTGAAGCACTTAAATATTATTAGAAGTAACATTACAATTTACAACCTAACTGCCAATTAAAATACTAAGTTCATGAACTTCTTAAAGGAAATTGAATTACATAACCTAATTTAAGCAAAACCTGTACTGTTAACTATATTTAAATACAATGAGAATGAATGGCAAAGTATCAGATAAAAAAAACATGTAGAGATTTTTGAATTACTTACTTGGCAAGTGCAATGGAGTTATTTTGGTGTCGTCAAATCAGTTATGTCACAGGTGTATTGCCCATGAATTATCACGAAATATTATTTTAATAATAATAATAATCCGAACAAATATACAYGAAACTGCACTCATACATGCACACACACTTGCACGCGTCGATCCGACGTTAAACGACAACGGAGGTCGACAGCGATAGAAAGAACACAGTGTCCGAGTGTCCGGTCATACACTCGTTGCAATATAAAGTTGATTGATTGTAATGTAGAGGAGAGTACTACTACAGCGCCTGAAACTAGGTTGCGTTTTACTCAAGGTGCACAATATTTTATAAGCAAACACAATAATATATTGTTTTATTTATTTGGTGTAACGCATGCCTACATAAATTGAATATTGAATATTCCTATGTGTTGTGATTTAATCTCATCTATTATTATCGTGACTTGTTTATAGTTTTGAGGATGTAGAGTATACTAGGTACCAATTAATTATCAAAATATAGAACCACATTCAATCATATTCTAGTAGAATTAATAAGMATTTTTCAAATTTGAAAATCATCTAATCATCTAAGCCAATATGAAATCAGATAGTAAATAATAATGATACAAGTAACCCGTTAGTCAAGCTTTAATTCTGTATGGTAGTCTTAATCATTCTACTTAATTGTAGAGATGTATGAAACGATGATAGTACTATACAACACGTCTTGTTTTATAATACGCTTTGAACCGACAATATTGTATCGATATTCCAAAATTTAGATGTTTGATTGATATTAGACGCTTTGCTGAATAGCATTATCTCGTGATTGAGTAGACCAGTATCATGGATGTAACAGATTTTAATTTTATAAAAAACGATTCTGAGCAGAGGCGGAATATTACCTACTATTATTTTTATGTTAATATTTTGGTAGGTTCTAGCCATTTTTACCACGTACCATAGAACGGTGCGAATCAGTTAATGGAAAAAATAGCGTAAAATTAGTCACAATACATTACAAATTTCAYTGTGTATCGGTGTTTCTATAGAAAACAATAAATATTTATATTTGGAATAGTGGCATGTTTCATGTTTTTTAAATTACAATATTTTTAACTATAACAAAATAATCGTTTATAGATAAATCATTATTTTATATTTATATATAGTTATTATAAAATATTGACAAAATTTATAAAATTCAAATGTCCATAACAATTATGAATTAATGCAGCTTCGCTAATCATTTTTTTTCAATTCAATAATAATAACTTTCAAAAAACTTTGTATTAAAATGTCAAGGATTAAACGATTTAGCAGTGTTTATAAAATGAAGAATAGATAATAAATAGGTATATGTATAAGAATTTTTTGTGATCTTGACGAATTTCAAAAATAAAAATAATATCATTTAATGTTATAGACAAGGTTACTTATAAAAAGAAATTTTAAATTAAATTAAATTTATGGAGGTACATTTAATACATTTACCATTATTTATATTTGTATTACAATAACATAGCAAAAAGTATGTTTTCGAAAATGATGTTCAATACATTTTTCCATTTTTAAGTTATTTTAGATTCTGAGTCAATTTRTTGGTTTTTCTATGATGATAATATTTTTTTGTCTGAAGGCAAATTTTAAAATAGAAAAATGCTTTAATCTTCGATATTGAGAATTATTTTTGTTATAAAATTGTATTTAATTTGTTGTTTTTGAGGGGTCAAAAGTTCAGTAACTATACTCAAGAAACACTAAAAAAAGATCGGAATATTAAAACAATAAGTGGCGTTTCCAATAAAATTGATTTGTTGTCATTMAAAAAAAAAGTAAAAATCTAAAACAATTACTATTAAATGAATAATAAAATTAGTATTTTTTTTTTCAAAACTATTACTTTATATAATGACCTTAAATTATGCAAGAAAAATAATTTTGATATTTTTCAGAGTTATTATTTTAAAAATATCATCTGGTATATTATGTAAATACCTCCTACTCATGTTATTGGTAAAAAAAAGTTACTATAACATATATATTTGCTTTTATAATTTTTACAATGCATTGCCCATATTAAAATAATTATGACAGGTTATAGCTATCGTAAATTATACACAATATTCACTATAAATTTATCGTAAACAGTAAATAATACCATATGTGAATAACACATAAAATATATAATAATAATTGAAGAGTTTTTACTATAATATTATGTTTTATGTATATGAATAACATTTATATAAGTTTACTAGTTAGTTATAGGATTACTCTAAAAATAAGATATAATATATCTAATCTATACTAAATTAATTTGATTGAAATTTTATTTTGTATACAATTATAGTTCGCATTCGCTTATATAGTAAATATTAATTGCATAGACTCATTAAATCCAACATTTTATAACAGTCTCCTGTTTTCGAAAATTTTAAATGGTTACTAAGATTAATTTATTATATACATGTGTATATCATATTTAAAAAGTAGAGTAAAAATGAATATGTTTTTATATCTTTATTAACATTAAATAATTATAACTCTTCACAAAGTTCAGATTATGGAATAATTAAAAAGAAAGTACTCCAATATATAATAAAAAAATATATATATATATATATATATATAGGACATCATCTTCGGTGATTTCATTATTTGTTGTAATATTTAACAATTAGGATTTATAAAACTGATTTAAAAGATTTCAAATTCGTTAAACGTGTTAGACAGATTCATTGAAATGTTTATCAACAGACGTCCCTAATCATTATTCTACGAGTTAGTGCTAATCTATTTTTTTTTTTTAGTATCTTGCAATTGTTAAAACTGGGTTAATTATGATGGCACACCTAGAAATTATATACTACCTATTAAACATTTAAACCATTAAACATTCGAATACCATCGTCTTTTGTTATTAATTGTCTTGGGTCGGTTAAAGTATAATATCCCTCCGMATTGTTCATTTATTGTTTTTAAAGACAATATATTATGATTAGATTATTTTGTACAACTGCAATAACAATATTAATTGCTAAGAAATATATAATGGTAGTACCTATATAATTATCGAAGTTATTAAAAGTTAAAATTCATATACTTTACTTGCAAACAATTTATATATTGTGTTTCAAAAATTATGTAACTCAATTTTCTGCTTATAAAAATATCTCAATAGTTATATGTCACGATAATATCTATCTATTGATTTTAAATAATACTGCATTTATGCTATACCAGCTGTGGGCGCTAGTAATGACTTTGTAATAATAAAAAACTATATGTAGATAAACTCCAAACATTGGATACATCTTAAAAATAAACTTTTGAATGTTCAACTGAGTAGTTCTTAGAATAATTTATTTTTCGAATGTTATGGATATTTGGAACATTATTATTATTATTTACAGTTTAAAAATAAATAATTATTTTTGATGTAATGATATATCAATAATAATGCTGTTTATATTTTTATTTTTTTAATATAATCTCATACACATTTTTATGTCAAAGTTAAACTCGAATTTATATTAGACCTTGTTATTTTTTATCAGCATTATAATTAAATGATTAAAAACATATATAATGCATTTAGTTATATGCATAAAAAAAATCATGTTRTCTTTTGTGAATAATTTTAGTAAAAAAACCGAAATTTGGTTTCGTTAATAATATTATAGTAATAATAATAAATGTTACACATTGTTATAAAACTATATAGTTGATATACCAACAATATGGTAAAATTGTAAAAATATTTTGAGTATACTATTCAACAATAATTTCTGAAATTATTATGTAAATCTATTACGAACGGATTGCAGGTATTGTTCCTTGTAATCTGGTGGTTGTTTTCCTTTGGATTGAATAATATTGATGATGTGAAATAGGTGAAATATAGTTCAATGAAAACTGTTTATCATTACTTGTTCGTATTGCACGCGTACTACACCATCGTTGTATAAATGTACATCATAATAATATCCGTACACCGTCGGAACTCTGTTTTTTGAATGTGTAGGTACCTACTAAAACAACGGAGTGTTCACGTTTTAACACTTCAAAAACAATATCGTATACAACCTTTAGAGGGTCATGTGGTATGTATATGCTATATATATATGACCATGGTACGCACTTAAGAGAAGACCTATAAATGAGCTGAAAGWTAGGTACCTATATTAGGGGATTTAGTCGCAACGTGGACGGATTGCACGTACGGCACGAGCGACCACCTTGTGGCTTGGTGGTATTCGCGTAGCCCGGCTATATAATCTCAGAAGATCGCCGGGCGCCGCGCCGTCGTTTACGTGTTGCCCGCGCCAAGCGTTTCCACGCAAGTCCCGCTTTGGGGACCAGGGCGCTACCAGCGCGCCCAATAACGGGGGTTGGGTTTGAGGTCGGGGAGGGATCGGAGGGCAGTTGGAGACGCAAGGGGTATTTCGTACTCCGTTTGCGGGCGGCAGTGCTAGAACCGTAGTCCGGGTAGTCGGTAGGGCTCTGTAAGACGAGATTTTTGTTTTGTTTTTTGTTTTGTTTTCATTTTGACGGTCACCCAATAATAACATTAATATGATGTTTCTGATCACGCAGATCGACGCCTTCGTCCAGTTGCGGTATAGATCGTAATACCCGAGTTCGCCCGAGTGTGCTGGTACAGTGCGTATATGTGCGCGTGTTTAGCTGTTTGCTCACCGAAACATGTTGAGAATTTGATTTCGACCAACTCTGTGGTGTGGTTCTAACCCAGTATAAATCAATTGCCGTGGTGTTCGGCGAATATCTTTCCGTTAAACAGGTAATTGTATACCTCTGTCTACCTATACTATATAAATACAAGTCATTACATAATATAACTGAGAAGGCACTAAAACATCAAAGTTGAAATACCATTTTACAACTTGTTATTAGTAACACCATAATTATGCGTATAATGATTTGAAACGACTAACGAGGCCAATAATTTACTATTTTTGAATACAATTTTTGGAAATATTGTTTTTATTCCTTGCCAATCATAGAATCATCGAATATTTGAAATTCAAATTAKATTATAAATTAAAAATAAAACAACAGTCGGTACATTTAAACGATAAATAACATAGTAGCGTAATATAGGTATCTATTCATATTCTTATTAATAAAACGCATAGATGAAAGTTTTATCTATAAAAAAAACTATTATTGTTTACTTAGGACTTAGTTTCATATCGTTTATGAATATATTCGATGAAATAGTATAAAAATATTATGGCTTACAGAAACCTCTTATAAAGATTAAATGATTAATAATACTGATGGAGCCAATAATAAGTACCTAGCACTTCTGTCAGATATGTTGTCCTGACCGAAACTTTGCTGTAAAGATATGACGTGTACAATTTAGGATAATGTAGTAATTGAAAGATGGTAGAACCCTGATGTTTATCCCCGTCTAAACTTTTTTTATAAATAGTTTGTTTTTGAAAATCAATAGTCCTGTTTAAGATGATCATATAATTTATTTATTTTGTATTATATATTTTTGTTTTAATTACTAAGTAAAATTATTTTTAATTAAAAAAAAAAAGAGATGATCTGGTTTTTTAAACAGTATGATAGTTAAATTATTTTTAATTTACATTTTATATTCATTGTGTTTTATTTCAAACAATATCAATAAGAACTTCCAATTTTATTTAGACTGTGTCTACATGGTTTTGGATTAATATTTAAATAAAGGTTAATAAATTATTAAACTTGCACACGAATCAGAAGAATCAAGTCTACAAATTGAGTATTTTCTAATGTTAAAATAACACGAAAAGTATAAAAACACATTAAAATAAAAAAAATAAAAATCTAAAAATCTACTTTGATTAAATTAGACATCATAAAATAATGTAGTTAGAAAATAAGTCATTAACGGAATTAAACATCATGGGGCACCCGGTATTTTATATGGCACCCTTAAGGCAATAACACTTTAAGACGTGACGACCAATTTACTGTGTAAACCAATATATATTGATACAACCAATTTGCCGTGCATTACAAACATTATTATAACTAATGTTCACTCAAGTAACATTTTGGATTCTATGTGAAGCGAGCAACGTAATAGTTTTACGATGATGTTTCTATTGATGTATTTTTGTTTGTAAACATATTTTCAATTTAAAGAAAACAACGCAAAATATCGTGTAGAATATGAACAGTTTAAAAATCAAGTATTGATACTTGTTGAAGAAGTAATTTTTCAATTTTCTCAATACCTTTTCTAATCGTTTAGCAATACTGTTTTCTAAAACTAAATGTTCAATGTGTAGCATATATTATTAAATACTTACCAAATTTTATAATCTAATAGCTAAATAATAACACTGATAAGGTATCTGTTATTCGGTAAATTCAATCATAGAAAATAATATTACTCAAAAAAATTATATTAAATTATATAGGGGTAAGTAGTATTGTGCAAACAGTTTACTGTTACCCTTGTGTCACGAAACCACAATGAAAATATATTCATATCATCTATGTGTATACTTCGTTATAATTCAATAAAATATTTTTATTATATTTGTTCTACAAYTCTACAATATATTCATTTATACTCCTTAACAACAGAYAATTCTATATAAACAAATGACAATATAATTAAAATACGAAACGTGTCAGTTGTATTATCTAAATTTGAACTTAAGTATTTTAAAACAACAAATATGGTAATTTTGTTTTGATATTTCCATTTTTTATCTCATCGACAAGAAATAATTACAAGACGTAGTCTTTTCAAAAAGAGAAAAAGTATTAATGTTTTGATATTTCCATTTTAATTTATAATATTAAGTAATTTATATGTATTGTTTTAAAATATTATATTTTTTTGATTTAACTTGATACTCAAATAAGTCATATTATTCTTATACTATATTATATACATTACCCTACCTGTAATAAATATATAACATGATTTATGAGTTTATTGTTTCGCTTTTCTTGAATAATGCGTGAAAAATATCAGTAAATAGGTAGTACCTATATAACTATAGGTCGCTTTAAAAGTAAAAATAAAATATGTTAATGCAATTAGTGGAGTTACTATAAAATTATTTTTGATTTCTTAATAATTATAATCATGTTTTTTAATGGATCCATGATTCAAAGAGAATTTTAATATAATTTTATTAACCTTTGTGATGTTTACAAGAGAAAACAATTATATTGAATAATAGAGTTTTAAAAGGTACGTCAAAAAAATAGCTAAACACTTTTGATGGAATTGTTGTAATTGACAACTCGAATATTAAAAATAAATTGATGACAATGCATTTAATTGAAAGTTAATTACTCGTGAGATTCTGTATGAAATCTTTTTGAAACTAAAAATTGATTGTTAGTTATATTTTCAATTGTGTTTATTAATTTTTACTTTCATTATTATTCTTGTATAACATTTTTAATTAAGAAAATACATAATATGTTATACGAAATAACAATAAGTAAAATATTGAGMCATTTGCTTCTTAGATTTGAAACATGTTATAAAACAAGAACTAAATATAAACAGCCATTCTTTTTACGTTTGCAGATAAGTGTTTGGATACAACGATTGTGTTTAGGTATCGAACATTTACAGATACTGGACACTGGTCGAATGTGTCAATTTGTTCACTTTAGCGCTTTAGTGTTAGAGGTAGTGTTGCATTCTTAACCCAACCGAAAACTTGTTTATTTAGTTTTTATTATTACAATTTAAATGTTTCAGCATATAGTGCATGCTATTATAACCGAAAACTTAAATTTGTGGAATATGTAGGTTTTTCGATTCCTAGTTTTTTTCTCTTTGATTTCAGGTAATAGTAGACATAGTCATGATCATAAAAGTATTAAAAAGTCATATTTATCGAGTGAGACCATACCTATACGGTCTTTGAAAAGATTATTTTCGATTTCCTCAAAAGTCATTAGTATGAAATAAATAAAATAAATAAATGTATGGATGCCTGGTTGTAATGCCAAAGATTCGTGACGATTGTTAGGGMAAATTTAATCAATTCTATGTGATAAATTTATTTTTTACATAATTATAAATAGGAAAAGCGGTAACATATTAAACGTATGTAATCACAATTATTATTGTTTATCACTAGGAACATTAAAAGACATATAATATATGTAAACAAAGTAATTAGGTCATCTTCAAATCCCTAACATATGATGGTCGATGGGTTTCAATGTAATTGTTATATTTCTTACACTTTATAATCATTAAAGAAAATCCCATTTATCACCAATTCTAAAATATTCACAAGTTATAAGTACAATAATTCAGCACAAAGATTGATAATTTATGATGAATTATATTTGACAAGTAGAACAATATTAAGAGATTTAATATTTTGGATCGTGTTTGTGTATTTAAAAAGTAAAACAAAATTTATAAAAAAAAATATTACCATATGGAATTGCAAGTTCAATAAACACTATCAATAATACTAACATATATAATTGATAAACAGATGCATCTAAATTTTTTCACGAATTTTAATTTTGTCCTTATTTATCTTTTAAAAATTGAATTTATAGGACTTATTAAGTAAAAAAACAAACATTTACAAAAAATTAAAAAAACGGTCATAATATTATAATAAAAATCACATACTTACATAATATTATTAGCTTTATTATTGTTACTCCAAATACTAATTTAGTATTATAAATAATAAGTTGGTGAAATAATATTTTCATAAATTAATTATAATGTTTTTAAATATTTAAGTTACAAATTTCTAAAATAGAATCACTACTTTACTATGGTGCATATAAATTATTATAATTTAGTGTTCTTATATTCTACCTTCCTTTCAAACTCAAATATTCAATTATATAATTTAAGTTATTTTTTTTTACTTACGTTATATAAAAATTTGTATTTATCTTTCAGTAGCTTTTCATTTTTAAATTTCATGTGAAACTCAACAACAATTTTTTGTAAAAAATGTGTGTAAATATTTGCTGTGAAATTATACAAGAAAAAAATAGAGAAACCATTGAAAAGTGGAAATAAAGAGGGTAAACATGTGATTATAAGTACTTTTATAGTTAATTTCACTTCACTATATCTTAAAATTAATTTTCCATTAGATTTGATTAATGAAATTGTGTACCTGTGGTCCAACTTCTTAATTAAAATCAACATTTTGGAAATTTATGCATTTGATATTTTTCCTATTAATTCTACTTTTCTACATGATGGTATATTGGTATATTGAGTTATTAATTTTTACTTTATAACTTTATACTTAGTTGCAAAAACAGAGTATACTATACTAGCGTATAGGTACTATATGGTACCTAATTATTTTTTTTCACTTTCGCACTTTTTAGGTCATTAGTGGAAACAAATAAAAAAAAGGTATTATGTGAAGCTTCGGTTTTCATTTTGAAATAATTTTTCTTTCCAAACCCCATGTGTTGTTAAAAWTAAGACATGCGGCTTAAATCATTCTTCTAATTCACTGTGAAAGTCTGGACTTAAAGGTAAGCATATCCACACAAATTGGCTTTATACTTTTTTTTCTATGTATAAAAAATTCAAAAACTATGAAATGTATTAAGCTTAGCAAAAAAATACAAAAATTATTATTTTTATGGTGGTATTAATGCTAACAAAATTGAGTTTACTGCAAAATAAACTTAAAAAAAAAACCCGGCCTGTTTTACAGTAGGTTTTGAATGGGGCACTTTAATGGATGTGACAGATTCATCATTGTATACGAAAAATGATTTTGAACTGGAACTATCTGTCAGCCT